GGGGGGGGGGGGGCTAGTAGCCTTGTATGTCGGTTGCGCCGGTCCCTCTATGGTCTAAAGCCGTCTCCTCGAGCCTGGTTTGGTATGTTCAGCACAGTTATTCAAGAGTTTGGCATGACTTGTAGTGAAACTGGTCACTCTTTGTTTTATCGGCATTCTGCTTCAAATCTTGGTATTTATCTGATGGTTTATGTTGATATTATTGTTATTACCGACAATGATCAGGATGTTATTACTAAGTTGAAGCAACATCTCTTTCAGCACTTTCAGACTAAGGATCTGAGCGAATTAAAGTATTTTCTAGGTATTGAGGTCACTCAGTTTGGCTCAAGTATTGTAATCTCACAATAGGAGTATGCCTACATTCTTGAAGAGACAGGAATTACAGGTTGTAGACCTGTTGACAGTCCTATGGATCCGAATTCTAAACTTTTGCCAGGACAAGGGGAGCCGCTTAGTGATCCTGCAAGATATAAGCGGTTGATTGGTAAATTAAATTACTTCACAGTGACTAGACCTGACATTTTCTTTCCTGTGAGTGTAGTAAGTCAGTTCTTGGATTCTCCCTGTGATAATCATTAGGATGCAGTTGTCCGCATTCTTCGATATATAAAATCAGCTCCAGACAAAGGATTTTTGTTTGAAGATCGAGGCCATGAGAAAATTGCTGGGTAGTCAGATGCTGATTGGGCAGGATCACCTTCTGATTGACGTTCTATGTTTGGATATTGTGTTTTAGTAAGAGGTAATTTGGTGTCTTGGAATAGCAAGAAACAGAATGTGGTCGCTCGTTTTAATGCAAAAGCAGAATATCGAGCAATGACTGTGGCAGCATGTGAGCTAGTTTGGATCAAACATTTGCTTAATGAGTTGAAATTTGGTAAGATCAGCAAGATGGAACTTGTGTGTGATAATCAAGCTGCCCTTCATATTGCATCAATTCCAGTATTCCATGAGAGAACCAAACACATTGAGATTGACTGTCTCTTCGTCAGAGAAAAGATACTCTCAGGAGATATCGCTACAAAGTTTGTGAAGTCGAATGATCAGCTTGCAGATATTTTCACTAAGTCCCTTATTGGTTCTCGTATTAGTTACATATGTAACAAGCTCGGCACATATGATTTGTATGCACCAGCTTGAGGGGGTGTTAGATAGTTATGTACATAATATGAATTAGTCCTAGTCCCACATAGAATAGGAGTATGATATGTATTGTATAAATAACATTCATTGTATTTTAGTTAAACAGAAAATCAATAATAGATTTTTCTCCTGTGCATTCTCACAAGATAAAAGATAAGACTTAAAACTCAAGGAATTGAGTAGCGCACTATCTCCACCTTGCTGCAAAAATGCAGCTGTCAAGTTTGACTTCTGAATGATTAGTGTAAAGGCACATAAATGGTGAATTGTATTGGAAAAAGAGTTGCTAAAAAGTGGGGACAGATTTCTATTTAGACCAATTTACTTGAGTAAGATGGAGGAGACCCATGAAGTTATGGCGAAAGCATCCTTAACAATGCGGAGGTGCAAACACATGGGGAGCAATGGTAGTCCACGCTACCTTGATCTGCATGAATCTGTGGCTCTACTATCACATGAAACACTTTTAGTATCAAAAGTATCACATGAAACACGCCATTGATACTATCACTTGAAACACTTTTAGTATCGGTAGAGAGTGCATGGCTGTATATTAAGTGTGCACATGTGTTTGAATCATATGAAAAATTGCAACTTATATAATGATATACATTAATCTTGCTTTAGTATCTCAATAATAAACACTTGATCAATTCTTGTATGCAGTTTCTTGTCACGTTTCAGCTGTTAAGGGACTATGTAGTAACTAGTTTTTAGACTGAGTTTGGACGCCATTGTTACAGTCTAAATGAGATTTTGAGATGCTATATGAATTTCAATTCAAATTGCAAATTGTAGTAGCTCTAAGTTTAAAATAAAACTACATTAGAGAAAATTTGTTCAACTTTCCAGAGGGAAATGAGACCAACATATGGGAACATGGAGTAATAACGAAATTTCTTGCGTATAAAAGTTGATGCTAGTAAATACAACAAACAGGGTTATTTTTAATCTGGATTGTTGAGGACAGTGACTAGCTTTGCTTGAGTTTGGATGGCATGAATCCATCCTTAATGGGATTTTAAGATGCTATATAAAATGCAGATCAGATTGCAAACTGTAGTAATTCTAAATCTGGAATAGAAATTTATTAGAGAAAAATTGTTGACTTTCAGAACGGAAAGGGTATAAACATATAGGAACATGGAGGAGTAATGAAGTTTCTTTCCTAAAAAAGTTGATGTTAGCAAATGGAAAGAAGCAAGACTATTTTATAACCTGGTCTAGGGGAGGTTGAGGTATAACGGCATGTTGGTGGATGGAGTGAAGTTGGAAATAGATGGAGGGGTGTTGTCTTTGCTATTAAAAGTCTACAAAAGAGGGAATGTTCCTTTTTGTTGCACTTGTAATCTTCAAAGTTTATCTGCTTACTACCCTGCTCTTTTGCCTATAAAACTTGGGGGCACTTACCTCACTCTCTGGTAATAGTAGTGGCTTGACCTTCTTCATTGTCAGAAAAAAGAAAGAAAGAGTAGTGGCTTGACCTTCTCTTGCTCTGAAAATGATCCCTCCACACCTGTAAGAGGGTACTTGATTGATCTTGTCTCTGAGTTACCAGTTTGTATAAATTAATACCAAATCCCTCCTCTAACACTTTACTTTTGTATGTTATTACTCGTAGAAAACATAATTGTAGAAACTTATCTGCCTTGGCTCAATTCATCCTCCTTTTCCTGTGTGTCGTGCAGGGTCTCTAGATCCCCACGTTCAGCAGATCATTCACCCTCCCCGAGGTATAAATTGTCGTATTTCTTGTGGCCTCGTACACATAGAATACCATTTGTTTGATTCTTTGGATTCTGTGCAGGAGATCAAGGTCAATCAGCAAGTCATTTTCTAATTCAAGGAGTTATTCTGGGTACTTTTTCCATTAAGCTCCTTTTTTTTTTGCAATTGTCCCCCATTTGTTTTTAGATGATATGTATCCTCAGCTTTCAACTTTTACTTTTGCTTTCACTGAAATAATGATGGCATTATCTTTTAAAGTGAAAGGCGCAGGTCACGAAGTACATCCGGATCTCCTTTAGAACGGAGGGGTCGCTCACTTTCATCTGAAAGGGTATACCGCTCTCCACCAAGGCTCTCTGTTTCACCTCGTAGGAAGCATTCACCTCAACAATCTCTCTCTCCACCAAGACACAGGCAAAGATCAACCTCCCGAGTACGTCAAGGGTCACCTTTTGTTGCACGGTATCGAAGACGTTCTCCATTCCGACGTAGGAGGTCTCCCATTCGATGTAGATCGAGGTCTCCCATTCAACGTAGATCGAGGTCTCCGATTAGGCGTAGATCACGATCCCCTATGTGGCGTAGGTCACGGTCTCCAAGTAGACGCTCACCAGGGCGATATAGATCAAGGTCACCTATTAGACGTCGATCACCACTTCTGCGCAGAACACCGAATTCAACAAAACGTAGGTCCCCTTCTCCGGTGGGTCGGGGTTACCACCGATCTCCATTGAGTCCTCGAAGTTCTCTATCTCCAGCACAACGAAAATCCTTCATATCTGGCAGGAAAAGATCCTTAACCCCTGCCAGAAGGTCTATTTCACCTCAAGAATCACTTTCTCCCTCACCCATTTACCGCAAGTCTCCTTCACCAATCAGAAAGAGAATATTGAAGAATGAAAGTTCACCAGTTCAATCTCCTCGGGGAAGGATAAGGTAGTGATACATATCAACTCTCTTGTTTTCTAAGACTTGCTACTGACGATTGTTGTTGTAACTTGCGAGCCCAGAGTTATTAGCTGCCTTGTATACCTATGCTTGTCTTGTGTTGTCTCTGATCAATGAAAATACTGGATTGCTTTGCTTCATAGATAGACTGCACAAATTTTAGGTGCATGGAATTTTTATGTCTTGCTATGCTTGATACACATTGTAGGAGCCGTGTAAAATACTCCCCTATTCGACATGCTCCTCCAGTAAAAACTGAGGCGCATAAAGGATCCAGATCATTGGAACGTAGTCGTCCTATTTCTTCTAGGTCACCACAGAGGGACGTATATGACCGTAAGGATTCACGAAAAAAAGAGTCGCTTTTGCCTCCTCGGCGACGGCGGTCACCATCTGTTTCAGAATCTCCACGCTCCAGATCAGCCTCAGAATCTCCACCAACAAAAAGGGAAAGGAGTCCTAGTGAAAATAGAGGGTATGCTTTCTTTAATTATATTGTTAACACTGCTAGTGATTCATGAATTTTATCTTTGAATCTTAATGTTGTATTTTGATTACTATAGGCCAAAGAGTACTTTGAACCAGAGGGAGAGAAAGACAATTGACACTGACAGCCCAAATCCCGGGAAATTGAGAGAGCACAGAGTTAGTTCTAACATTTCTGCGAAAATTGCAGATGAGAAAGAAATGAACCATTCAAGGTTAGTAAAGGATAATGCGTCATTTAAAATGGGAGAAGTAATTTTGTCCATGGATATTTTAAAGTAATATATTCTGTTTTCCTGATTTTTGCTGGATTGCTGTGGTTCAGGGAGGCCTTTGAGCATAAACCTAGGTCTTCAAGAAAAATTGCTACAACACCTGATCCAAATAAAGATCTTGAAAAGGGGCGGGATGAGGAAGAATTTTCTGAATTTCATAGCCATTCAGATCGCATGGAGTCAAGAAAGCGAAATGAAGTGATGAAGAGGTTTGTTTACAACTGCTTTTCTACATTTAGGCAGCTTTAAATGAATATTTCCTGCATGTTTTATTTGTGGAGCTAGTAAAAGATGCTCAGTCTGTATGCTTCATAATGCTTGTGTATATTTGCATGTCAGTGAAAAATTTTCTGCAATGATGGAGCAAACAAAGGAACTGGATCAACAAAAGTCACCATCAAGCCATAGACACTCTCATTCAGTTAAGAGGGAAAGGGAATCATATGCTGGGGAGAGCTTCAAAGCAGAGAAGGAATACCTGTCTCATGCAAACTATATCAAGGGCAAAGAGCTACTTGAGTCAGAAACTCCCCTCACTTCATCAAGGAAAGTTGAGCAGAATGATCAAAGTGGTGATGAGGGTTCTGCTTCTGAGGAAAGTGAAAAGCGTAGAGCTAAAGTTAAGGAAAAAAGAAAGCATAAGAGGTCTGGCAAATATGAGTCATCGTCAGATGATAGTTATGACTCTGATGTTGAGGATAGGAAGGAGGCTAAAAGGAGGAGGAAAGAGGAGAGGAGATGGAAGAAAGAGGAGAAGCGTAGGCGTCGGGAGGAGAGACAGCGCAGAAAGGAAGAAAGACATGCCCAGAAACTAAAATCGAAGTCAGCTAATGCCATGTCTTCGCCATCAGATACGGAGAGAAATCCTGATTGCCATGCTTCTTATGATGAGCATCTGAGGAAGGGGGATGTCGAGGAGTCAGAGTCCATGCAGAAAAGGCTTGAGATTGAGCTGCGGGAGAAGGCTCTTGAATCTCTCAGAGCAAAAAAGGGCATCAGCCATTAAGATTCTTGCTGCTTTTGGACATTATTGAGCTGCTATTCTTGTCTTAATAGTTTTCTCTTTCAGCTTGCTTTATCTAACTAGAACTAAATGTTTACTATGGATATGTTTATGATATTTAATGTAGTCTATCTTTACCTCTGGCAGCTGAATTGCATTAAAGAGGGTTTCCTGAGCTAGTGTCTTGACATCAACTTTATGCTGACCTACCTGCTAGACATTCTGGTAAAAATTGTCTTCCCTTTCCTGGGAATGTATTTGTTCCTAATCCACTGGAAATCTTCTTTTGTTGGCTCCTTATAGCCTTGAATGGCATTCTTGTTTATTGGTCCTTTATTAACTACAAGATTTAATCTTTATGTTAAAGTGTGTTTTTTGCTTGAAAGACGAATTTGAGTGATGTTACACTTAGAAGAAATGCCAGGTTTAGGGCATTGACTGATCCAAATTATTTATATTTGGCTTATTACCTTATCATGAAGGTTTTCAAATTTTCCCCTTCTATGATATTGTTTCTAAGTTGACTTTCTGGTTAATTGATAGATCATAATATTGTCCACTAGATGACCTCGTTGAGCAGACATGTGCAGCTCGATATGTGGATCTCCAATACAGGTGATGTGTTACCATCCTTAATTGGCTGCGTTAGATAGTAGGGTAGAATGCCTATTGTTTGGAGCTTTTACCCTTAAATGTAAACTTAAATCTTATTTAGGTCTCATGGTATTGAGTGCTGATTTACCTTGTCTGGCTGGCAGCTTGACTTGCTCTCCAGAATGTGATTTGCTTTATATGATGAGCTGAGTTCGTGTTTGTGTTGTCACTGTGTTTGTATCAGTAGTTGAGACAGTACTGGTGCATTATATTGTTTCTTATTATATCTTGCTAATGTTATGGTGCTACTGTTTTTTTTTTTAAATCTTTCTTTGAGCTGAGGGTCTATCGGAAATCTTTCTACCTTCCCAAGGTTTTTTTGGGGGTGGGTGGGTGGTGAAGGTCTAGGTACATACTACCCTTCCTAGACCCTACTTGTGGGATTACACTGAGTTTGTTATTGTTGTTGATATTCAAATTTTTTTCTAGACATTCCTGATATCCATATAAAGCAAAAAAAAAAATCTTCGTGCCTGCTTTATTACCTGGCAGATATGGTCTTCGTGCTTTTTGATAGTTCATTTAGGTAGTTTCATGGGTTATGCCAGGTTTCTAATCCTATCAGACTGGCTATTATCAAATTATTCCATGCATATAGATGTGTGCTCGTTCATATCAGGATAAATTCTTGTACTTGCACTGTTTATATGATATGGAATGAGTTCAATTTGGATATCGCCTCGGATAACTTCTCCTTTACCTCCTATATTATTCTGAAGAAGCTAAGTTGTCTAGTATCATAAACATAAGCTAAAGCTTTTCTCAAGGATTCTAGAGTAGTGGAAGGGGCATGTAAAGGAAGGTATGTCCAGGACTTCTTATGCTTTGATGGACAAATGGAAAGAGAGAATCCAGCTATGGATAACAGCTGCAATTTTCGTTTTTATTCAGACCCTATGGCATCCTTTTGGATGTCCGGTAAGAGACATAATATTAGCCGTTTAGATTATTGTGCCATGTCTGTAGGTACATAGGTCTCCTTTTCTTATCCACTAGGTAGTAACTTACTTATTACACTATTCTCAATTCCTCAAGGTTGTACGAGCTGTAGTAGAGGTGGAGCCATGCCTTGGAAGGTTTTTTTTCCGGAGAAAGGAGTGATCTGCTGAGAAAAAAATGGATGAAACGATATTAGTAGCTTAAATTGTTTATATTCCGTAAATGAAGTAGCTTAAATTTATTCAGTTTACCTTTCCCTTCCAAGTTATTGTGGTCGGATAGCTGTACATGAGTCCATGTTTCTCTGCTCAAGAGTTTGGTTTGTGAATGAGTTATAGTGGGATTATAATATGGGGACTAGAATACAAAGACAAAATAATGATGGGATTATTAAATAGATATAACTTATATTCGTATATTTCATTGGACTAAAAATGGAATATATGAGGTATAATGTAAAATAATTTTTTGATTTTTACTAAGATAAATTTGGATAAATTTTTAATTTTATTTTTAACCTTGACTTTCTTAAAGGTTTTGGGTGAAAGAGCATTGGTGTTTGAGACATTATCTTTGTCTTTAGATGGATCCTGTGATAAAATGCCGTCATTAGTGATCATGCTTGTGAAATATAGATGATGTCCTAATCATAATCAAAATATTGTGCGGTGTGGTTCAGCATTGGGTTGGTTTTAGCGGAGTTCCCGTAATTGGCCGTATTTCATAACTGCTGTCCTTTTTGTGCAAGCTTCAGCTAAGATTTACTGATATGGTAGGATGTACCAAATGCTATGCAATAGTGTAATATTAATGACTAGAAGTTACCATTTTGTCATATTGTTCTGTACCAAATTGCTCAAAAATACTTTGTTGAAAAGTATAGATAAATTATTACTATTAGGTAGATTTTGATGAACAATTTAATAGATAAGTCGATTACAGATAACACAAAATCATGCCAATCTAGTAGAGTTTGATGAACAATTAAATAAGCACAAAATCATGTCAATTGGATAAACTTCGATGACCAATTTCACAGAAAGGTAGTAAATATTGCTTAAACTCTACCAATTCGGTAGAGAATCCTTGAAGAGGAATAACTGTGTGCGCTTGTCTGGGGTCTCTTATGGGGCCATTCATGTCAATAACCCTGTCCTGATGCACCAAAAAGCTGAACCTACAATATTAGTGAGAGTAGGAAACCCAGAATAGTCAGCCTAGGCTAAGATACAGAAATTAGTAGTTGTTGCAGTGAAGAGGTTGAACAGGTTCTAATGCGGATAAGGATTCATATACCAATGTTTTCTATTAAATAGCGGTAAGATATGGCAGTTTTAGTGGAGAAATCATAGTTTAATAAAGCTAACGATGATCAAATACGGTGAATAAAAGGCTTGGGGAGACGTCATTAACGAACAAAAACAATGAAGATAACATCTTAATCCTTAGCTGGTTTTGGTCATTATACCCCCGGTCTTAGTGTAACGAGTGGTAAGAATTTTCGATGATTCAGTATTCTAAGATCATAACTTGATTACTTTTATGTTGACAGTCAATTTACTATTCTTTCCACCTTTTTCTGGTATTGACCTCATTAACTAATTTGGAGAACAATATTAGTATGTTTTTGTTATTTCTTTAACTTTTTGTGGTTAAATCAGATTTCAAGGTTAACAATAAATGTTAACTTAAATCCGTAATAATTTTATATGTCGAAATTTTAGTTCTCCTATATTCGTACTGTCAAAACCACTATTTGAGCATGCGCGTATCCTAGTTAATTGGATTATGCAAATACACATACATTAAGATAGAAGATAGCAAAGGCCGTAAAAACCCCAGGTACATCACAAGTGGCACTTAAATGTCCAAGCGCGAGTTGCATCACACAAGGAATATAAAATATGCAATTGACTACGGGTATGTTTATATTAAGAAAAATATTTAAAATTTTTCATGTTTGGTCGGCTTAAATATTTTGAAAAATATTTTTTATTTGAATATATATTTCTCTAATTGGAGGAAAATAATTTCCCTATCAAAAGGAGGAAACTATTTCTCAACCTTCCCCACCCACCGTCCACACACCCACTCCTACCCTCAACCCCCCACCCCCC